ATTAAATCAAGCCCTTAGAGACAGTCCAGGCCTGGTCCAAACCACAGTGGGAGAAGAATCTAGGAAATGCATTTCTCCTCACACTAATGTTTATACCTCAGTTGGGGATATGCGGCATTTGAGAACTAGCTAGATCCACGGGGACTGGCTTTGGGTTTCACACTGCCAGTAAGATGTTCAACTTGATTTCAGATTGATGATCTAGCTGGTGAAAGCAGGTTCAGTGTGGGGAAGGGCTGGGCACTCTGAGATAGTGTCAAGTGGAGGAAGGTGGCATTTTCTTGCTCAACTAGCAGTCCTTTTAGCCTTAGGAGAACACCTCTGCTCCTCTGTCAGAGGAGCTGTCCCAGGTACTGTAGCAGAGCTGCTGTAGACCATGAGCAGAGCAGATAGCTCTATCCCTTCCCCGGACACCCTGGAACAGCGCTAAGGGTTGCCTCAATCACGTGGAGGAAGGTTAATTTTAGGAGGTTTGGGATAGGTGAACCCTGATTCAGGGCAACAAACAGGGCCACACAGGATCAGACTGGGGCTCACAGCTGGCAGTATCTGCAGAGTCAGCCAGGTTGACAGCTATCATGGCACAGATGTGGTCAGGGCAAAGAGAGACTACAATGACTCAGCATGCAGATACAGGAGATGTGTGCAGCTGTTTCAGTATGCAAATATGGAAAAGGAAGATAGCTGAGTCAGCCCGGGCCTTCCCCATAGAGCAGATTCCTCATTTACATAAGGGACCCCCTTTACATGTGTGCAACCATGGTGTCCTGTGCTTCACACCAGTCACCACATCTAATCCTAGGATGTGCCCATGCACTGGAACTGTATTTCCCCAAATTTACAGACAGGGGAACTAAGGCTCGGGCATTGTAATTTACTCAAGAAACAAAAGCCGGTACAGACATTGAAATGCTGTCAGACTCTTGATTCTGTAACCCTAGACAGGAAGCAGGTGTTTCCAGGTGTGGACAAGGCTGAGAGCAGCTGTGGTGAGAGCTATATCTGAGAACCGGTCCCATCTCCTAACTGGGGCAGCTGTGCTGGGAGGCTGTCTGCCCACACACATAGGCTGCTTGTACTTCTATGGACTAGAAGCAGCTCTGGTGCTACTTCTGAATTTTAGCAGCCATCCTCTTCGCTCCTTCTTGGGTATGGTAAGCAGCCCTCAGAGGTTCACTTCAGGACCCCATTGGAGGATGGGTACTAGGAAGGAGCCCAGAGTCTACCAGCCATGTCTCCTCCTGGAAAGAAGAAGTGTTCTGTGCTTGGATCTGTTGGTGGTTTGTCTTTCAGTAGAGGCACTAGGCAGCATGGAGGCAGTTTATAATGCTGACTTAAATCCTTCTATGGCAGCTGTCTACAACTCTCCAGAGCCTTGTGCATTTGGATACACAGCTCGCTGTACTTTGGCCCCAACTTGTAAAAGAAGTAACGAACCTTCTTCTGGACTGTCATATAATTGTCTCCAGTAGCAGTGACACAGCCCTCAGTCACCTGCCCACTCCAGAAGAGTCCATTCTAACTCTGCTCTCAGTGGGGTCAAACCATGACCTGGAGGCAAGTGCCTGCTTTTCTACCCCTGCCTACAGCAAGCCACAGTTGCAGCCCAGGAAGCACAGAGGACCCAAGATGTAGTGCCTTTGTATCTTGAGCCTTGAGTATGTGGAGCAAAGAGAGGAGCTGTACCTGGGGTTCAGAAACAGGGAAACAGCTATGCTTGTGCTGTGTGTCACAGCCGCACATCAGTTATCACAGGGGTTTAAAGCATCTGGATGGCTGATGGATTGGATGCTCCATTTGAATCATGACCAGATGTTTGGTGTCATGGAGACACTGCAGAGATGTTAAGGTAATGATACCACAAAACAAGTTATCAATGCACAGAGCAGGTTTTTGCTCCTAGCTCATTAGACAAAACATACATGTTTTTATGTAACACACACTGTCCTAAAAAAATATAAAAGAATACATTTCCAGCTTTGAAACACACAGGACTTGGAGGCTGGGGGCAAAGGTAGCAAATTCTAGGTCAGCTTGATTTATATTGCAAGATGTTGTTTACAAAAACAAATACAAGTAAACAAACAAAACACAAACCCAAACCTCTAACTATGTACGATTCAAATGCCCTTAAAAATAAGGTCACAAAATACCATAATTATACGTAACTCATTATTTGATAATTTTCAATTATTAAAAATCACAAATATATGAAATGTTGAATTTATTTAAAACTTAAACTATTTAAAACAAACTACAATATGCTGATAAAACATTACATTAAAAAATCTCAGGCAAATGATAGACGCCAGAATGCATTGATATTATTCTGATTCACTGCATATCGACAAAACTAGATACAGCCTAGCCATGAATTTGCACAATTTCTTGCATTAAGAAATACCCTCATTTGTTTTCGAAAGCTATTGCTATGTTGAAACTCTCCTCTTTAAAGCAGGTTTATGCATATCTGATGTTCCCACACGTCTGTTGCTAGTATACCCTTCAGTGCACTTTTGCAAACCCCCCTGCCTCAGCCTCCCAGGTGCTATGATTACAGACTTGGGCCAGCACTCCACTGATAACCCACCCTGAGGTTCACCCAGACCACCTGGTCCTGAGGTGAGGAAAATAAGATAGAAGAGGCAATGTTGCCACCTGCACATCAGGACTATCTGGGCTCCACAGTTTTGCTGGACCCTCACTCAGTTCATGCCATTCACTTGGGCTATTTGCTTTTGCTTTTGCAACAGGATCTGTCTGTGCTTTAAGCACAGCAAGCAGCATCACTCAGTGGATGTAAAATCTGAGGTCTAATATCAAAGGAGCAGTTACCAGAAACAATACGGCCAGGGCTGACTCTTTGGTTTGTTTCCCACTTTCCTTGAAAAGAACCTTTTTTTAAGATCTTCACTTTCAAGCATGCATTAAGACTGAGAAGCAAGTGAAAGCATCTTCCTCAATAATAAAGCATAATTGGAAAGTAAGAGCCCTCAGAGGGCAGAAACGGCCACTGAGCTGAGCGGCAGTCAATGTAGCTTCTTGGAGTGAACAATATTTATTTGTAGAATAAATTATTGATGTGGACATAGATTCAATTGAGTATTATTTGGATTAAAAGATGCTACTAGTCAACCAATTGATTTCAATGTGTTAATAAGGCAGTCTCTATTTTAGCGTTGTGTTGGGTTAAAATGCTTTCACTGCTTGCTCAGGTTATTTGTTTTTCCCAAGGATGGGGTGGTATCTTGAAGCCTTAACTCACAGCAAAGACCATAAGGAGCTTCCAGCTCTCAAATGCATGGCTGCCTTCCTGCGGGTCTATTCTTATGTTTTGACCCTTTTAGGTGCGTGTCTTCCCTGGGAGGGAAGCAGCTGCTGATGCTGCAGCAAAGATGTCTGTCGAGTCTGATGCTTTCAACCTGGAGTTTCAAGAAATAATGTGTGTTCTAGGAAGGACTGTGGCTCCCATCAAGCCTCTTCTCTATTGTTTTCTGATTCCTTTCAATGTTGGATAAGAAAATGGGTAATTATAGTTAAATCTAGTAACGGCAAAGTGAGGTCTTACAGAAAAGACATCAAAAGTGGATAATTTCAGAGGTTCTCTGTAGCAAAGGTTAAACAGCAGGGGCTTCTTCAGTATGTATCTGCTAAAAATGATGTCTTGGGTACCAGTGAAAGATCCGTTATATAAGGATAATGAGCATGAAGCAGCCAGGAAAAAGAGTCAGAAAAGGGTGATTCTAACCCTGCCTTCCGGCTGTGTGCCTTCTTTTCTCCTCCCAATCTCATCTCAGCATTTTACTCATATTCTTTCTCCATAGTTGCATCTTCATTTTGTTTATCAACAAGGTAAACAACACAAGTATCAAATCAAATTTCGGTATCAAGACTTTCATAGACAGTCGATGTGAATTTGTGATACACACCAGATCCATGATTTAACTGAGGGAGGTTGAAATGGATTGTTTTACTTGTCTTGGTTCATTCTGAAAGCAAGTTGCGAGGTTGTGGACCAGTGTTTGTTTCCTTGTGTATTTTTGAGGTATTGATGCATAAGACCTAGCTGTACTTTGGAGTAAATGTACCCTTGTGTGCAAACAGTTCTATTTCAACCAGAGTCTAGCTTGTCAGGCTGGCTGTTTGATATCCCATCTGTAGTGAAGGACAATCTCAAGCACATGGAGCGTAAGATTCTTGAATCTCTTACTGGCTGTGCCCCTGACCAAGGGGGGGTGTTGTCCACTTTTGAACCTCTTGGACCTCCCTTTCTTCCTCAATGGAGAGGAAAAGACATGGTGCTGAGGTCCATGTAAGATATGCACCCTGCATCTGACAGTCACTCTTTTTCAAATGTCAGACTGAGCAGTCAGTGGTTCTCATATGTTACCAGGCCATCAGCAGTACTTGTTGAGAATACTCTAGAAGGCACCCAAGTTACCAACTTGTAGGGCCTGGTTCTTTGTCTTCAAGCCTCTGTAATGGTGATATGATTTGCAGAGGATCTGTGAAGGCTTGTTTTGAATTCCTATTTCTCCCAGAGAGAAGCAGGCCTCCAGTAAGCCATCAAGAGTTGCAGTAGCTACAAGACCATTATGTCATTTTATGTGCAGAAGAAAAAACATCAACAGCACCTCCCATGCATTGTAGACTTGAGCACAGAAATCTTTTGGTATGTTTGCTTATTGTGACCTCTGAAAATGATTTCCCTATGAAAGACATCCATTCTGACCCCAGTCGAAAAGCCAAGACTGGCCTCATTAGCTGCTATTCCACTGCCTCATAGTGTGAAAAGACCTTGATTCCCCATCCCTCAAACACATTTCATGCCTTTACTAATATTAGAGAAAAGGCAAACAGCCCTTCTCCTTATTCCTGGGCTGTAGACAATCTTCATGTGGAAACACCAGGATTCCGGCGCGATGTCCCTGCAATGTCTCTGCTCTGGTTTTGTCACCTGACCTTGTCTCTGAGGGTGTGTTTGTTTGTACTCTTCACAGGGGAGACTATTGGCCTGGGTGTGACAGATCATCAGGATTCAAGCCATGAGATGCTTTCTGTGGTCCTCAGAAAAGGATGGCTCCTCCACGATCTGCCAGAAGAATGAAAACCGTGCAGAAAGCCAGGTATCCATGAATCCTGCTCAGGTAGTTCTCCCCATCCCCTGGTTTGTCCGACTCTTATTTTAACCTTCCCTTTGAAGGGGCCGACTTTCAAAGACAACAAACACTGATTTGGTCCTGGTGAGCATGTATCCTCAGGAGGCCAGTGAACTTAGGGTCTGTCACCACATATGTAGTCCCCTTGCCGTAGCCAAGCACCCCAGGAAACTGCTTTCCCTTTGGAAATCCATAGGTGGGGTGGCATGGCCAGGTCATTTTTCATAAGCCTTGTTTCCCTGTCAGTGTGTCATAGTCAGTGAACAGATTCTTACACATTTGTAAATCTGCCCTCAGCTCCATCTCCTCACTATTTAATGCCACTTTGCCCGGCCACTGGGCTTACGAGCTCCAAGTGCCTGCTGTTGGGAGGAACATGTTCTCACTGTGATTAGTAAGGAGTTTGGGTGAGATTTCCCCCAGCACAAGCTGACAAGCTGCCCTGCACATTGTCATTTATCATTGTACACTAGATCTGTCAACTAGAGAAACAATTCCAATAAAAAAAATTCTGCATGAAATTACTTTCCCGAAGAAGAAAGCAGTTGTGCTGATGTGTGTACCCATCTGTGTCTCTGTGCTGTTTTTTTTTGTTTTTTTTTTCCCCCTTCGACTTTTTCTTTTTTCTTTTTTTAATTTTGGCTGTGAAAGGTACTTAATGTACCAAAAACAATTTGTACAGACATTATTTTACCAATTGCTAGTGTGTACGCCTTGCTGAGGCCTCCCTTATCTAACTGTTGCTAATACATTTTCATGCTGTGCTCTTACGGCTTCATTTTACAGTTGAGGAGATCACCCATTCCATGCTGTGCCTGAAATGGGACCCTCGTCACTTGGGTCCACAGAGTACACTTAACACGGGAACAGGCGCCAGCACTCAACGAGTTACACTATCTTCTTGAAGTCAAGCTTCGATTTGCAAACTTGGGCCTGCCTGCCTGCTTGCTTCTGGAGACCTTGGAGCTCAGAATGGAATGCAGCTTAGGTGCCCTGCTTGTAAGAAAGCTGCAGACCTGAATGGGTTGGGCAATATGCAGGCTCTACCTTGGACAGGGTCTGAGTAGCCAAAGCACTCCCTAGTGCTGGCGTTGTTCCTGTGTTGTGTTTGGCTTGTCCTGGGAGCCCCCAAACTAGCAGGGAGTCTGAGGTCCACAGTTGGGAGAGCTGGCAGGGCCAATAATTGCTATGGAAATGTGCTCCAGGACAGCTGAGAGGCCAGATCAGCCTCGAAGGCCCTCGTTTTCCACCCTGTCAGCTTCCCACCCAGCTATGGATTTCTAGCCATCGCTGCTGATGATTCTACTGACACCTCGTCAGAAAATAAATTTTTCACTACCCACTTGGCTGGCTCTATTAATAGGCTGCAACTTAGTCAAAACAAGGAGGAGAAAGAGGAGGAGGAGGAGGAGGGGGAGGAGGAGAAGAAGAAGAAAGGAAAGGAAAGGAAAGGAAAGGAAAGGAAAGGAAAGGAAAGGAAAGGAAAGGAAAGGAAAGGAAAGGAAAGGAAAGGAAAGGAAAGGAAAAAGCGACTCTCCTGACTCTCCATCATCACCATTTGCCTGTGATTCAAGCCCCACATACCATCTCCCTCTCTTGGTCCTGCACTGTCTTTCCCATGGTGGCCTGAGAGATGGGGTTTTCTATCTGTAGAATCTGGCCACAGATAAAAAATTGTACCATAACCAGAATTTTAAGACTGTACTTGAATGAACAACTAAGCTTTGACTAAGAAACAGAGTTGGGTTTAGAGATAAAGTCCTGTGTACATGGAATGGTTGTTGCTTTGCATAGTATGTTTGCCTTGTTTCAGTCCTGGTGCAAAAGTTTTCTAAATCCAAGGAAAAGGCAAGGATCCAAAGCTATCACAATAATGTCCAGGAAAATGGATTGTCCTGGGTTAGGGTTTTTCTTTTTCTATTTTTTCTTTTCTTGCTATACCTACCTCTTTAATACAGAGGTAATAGCATTCTCAATGAAAACATACACTCCAGTGGTAGATTTAAGAGGAGACTTGTCATCAAAGTAACTGTCCATTCAGCTATATTTTTAGCATATGAATTTTATTTTAATTCATGTGTTGAGACTAAGATTGTAATCACAGAGAGTTAACATCTATACTGGAGGCAAGAAAACACATGACAGAAATGACAGTTACTGACATTTGCTGAAAATAATTTTCAGTTATATACATATGCATACATATATATACACAGACACACACAAATATATATATGCATATATATATATATATATATATATATATATATATATATATATATATATATATATATATATATATCATCACTTTATTTAGTGTCATTACTGTCATTTTATATACTCGAGTGCAGAAATTGTCATCATATGTAGGTGAGGTTGGTAATTGTTTCTTTAACAAACATGTCCTCTAAGAACCTTATTTAGAAATGATATCTTGAGGGTTGTTTTAAATTAGATGAAGATGGAGTCATTCTGGGTAATGGCGAGCCCTAATATAATAGATTAGTATACTTACAAGAAGTGGAGACAGCTAGAGAAGTGACTAAGTGGGTTAGGTACTTGGTGTACAACAGTAAGGACCTGGGTTCTAATCCCCAGAACACATGTAAAACTAGGTGTGGTAGCATACATTTAAAATGACACTTCTCCTTCAATAAGATGTGTGGTGGAAGCAACAGGAACCTTGGGAGACTGAGGGGCTTGTAGCCTGACATACACAGTGGAGAACAAGACCCTGTTTCAAAATAAGTGCAAAGTGAGAGACAACTCTGAGGTCTTCATCTGATGTTTACATACATACTTGAGCATGTACATGCCTACACACATGTATAAACACACACACACACACACAGGAGAGAGAGAGAGAGAGAGAGAGAGAGAGAGACAGACAGAGAGCGGGGAGAGAGAGAGCCCATAAAAGATGGGGGGCAAGCAGACCCTTTCTCTGAGCCCTAAGCAGCAACGTGAACATGCCATCATCCAGACACAAACTTCTTTCCTATAGAGCTAGGGACAATCACCATTGCTTTAAACCACACCTATCATGGCAGCAGAGAAAGATGATAGAGAGAGAACAGCACTGCACCTTCCTTCATGAGAGCTGCTGTGGCTGGCACAGGATTGTACAACTATCTATTATCACTTAGAACTGACATGTCACCTCCAAGCTCATATTGTGAAATCTTAGTCATGAGTTATGTCACTAATTTAATGATTTTGAGCCTTTAAGAATGGAGTCTGGCTGGTAGCAGTGGGTCTCTATACTCATCCTTGGTTTTTATGTGCTCTTCTGCTTCTTGGTCTTTTGTGGTGGGAATGTTTCCACCCCACACTCCCCACCATGAATGTCATCGTATCTTCATTGCCATGATAGATTGCAAGTCTTTGAAATCATGAGCCAGAATAAATACTTCTTTCAATAAGATGCTTCTGTAAGGTATTTGAACACAGCAATAGAAAACTAACCACTTCAGTAATTTGGTGCCAGAGAGATGAGGTCACTGCTGTGACAAATCTGGCTCTGTTGTTCTTAGGGCTTCAGAACTAGTTTGTGGGGAGTATATGAGAGTTTTAAACCATAGGCTAGAAAAGCCCTAAGAATGCTATAAGCAGAGATCATTGGGAGAACCCAGTGGAAACTGGAAGGTAAGTGTCCATACCAAGACTAAGATTTTACTGAGAATTTGCATACGGGTGATTTGTTTTTCACTCTGGCAGAAAAGATGGCCTCATTCTTCAGTCTGGGCTCTCAGATTTTGCATAAGGTTAAACTCAAAAGTAACAGGCTAGTTTCTGTGGCAGAGAATAAATCAGACATTATAACATCAAACTTTAGAGCATGGATATTACTTTCTGATTTTTGTTAGACTCTTAGTGACAAACATGAGAAACACGTAGAGAAGTATTTGGAAAAAAGAAAACCATGTTACTTGTCCAGAAAGAGGATCATGTTTGGTGCAAAGTTAGTGTGGGAAAATGAACGCTACATTTAAAAGAATTAGTACCACTGATGACAAGGCACAAGATTTGCTCTGGAATAGTAAGAAAGGTATTTTGAGGGACAGACACCACTCACCAAAGGCTTCAAGGTATAAAAGACACAAATGTATTCGAAGGGCTTTCAGTTAAAGCAGAGAGCTGAAGGGTGTGTCCTGTTGGGAAAGCACTGTCCAGGGGAGTATCTTCCCAAGTTCAGTCACACGGAATTGCTGCAGCCACGCTCCGAGGGGCTGGGCTGGCTCTAAAGATGGCTTCAGCTCCATGGGGCTCCTTTCACTTTTTGTTGCTGCATTCAGAATCTAAGAGGTCACTCAATGCAAGTTTTGTCAAAGCTAGAAGAGAAAACAGCATGTGAACCCAGACAGTGGTATCAGAGTCATATTACTTGAAAGAGCCCTAGAAGTTACGTGGGAAGCTGTGAGGACAAAGCTTGAGCTGGAGTACAGACTTTGTAGAATGTTGGAGATGCCAGGAAAATGGGAAGTCTGCCCAGGTGAAGATACTGCAGGGGACTGACCTGGGAGAGGTCACTCGTGCTGTGGGGAGCAGTGTCCTGGAGGCAGAGATGCTGAAAGCCCTCAGAAATCAGAGGATGATACCATTTATCCCAGATTCTATACAAGGAGTCAGTGGGTGGATGTACTATTTGCTCTGCTGGGTTTTGGTCTTGCTTTGACCCAATCTTTTCTTGCTATACTCTTATTCCTTCTTTTTTAAATAATGTAAAGTCTGTGTCATTGTATGTTATAAACACATACCTTTCTTTTTGATTTTACAAGGACTTACAGAGAAGTGTATGCTAAGTCTCAGAAAAGACCCTGAATATTGACTTTAGAGGTTTAGAACAGTTAAAATGACGAGAGACTATTGGAGTTGAAATAAGTGCATTTTGCATTGGAAGAGGCCCATGAGCCTTAGGGAGGTGGTGGCAGGATGTTACAGTTCAGATCTGAAGTGTTCCCTGTTGACTCATGTTTGAAACACTCAGTCCCAGGCTAGTGATTTTGAAGGCTGTAGAGGTGAGGCCTGGCTTGTAGAAGTGGCTCACTAGGGACAGGCCTTTGACATTTGTACTCTTTGCCTGCTGATCTGTCATGATGTGAACAGTTCTGCCACATATTTCTGCCGCTGGAGAAGAGCTGAGCATCCCCATGTCTTTTCTGCTCAGTTGGACGGCAGAACTTTGGGTCAAATTAATCTTTCCTTTCATAAGTTGCTTTGCCAAGTATTTGGTTAAAATAATATAAATGTAATTACTGTCCCATCTGTTTTCCACAAATATCTACACACCTGTCCCCTAATCACATGGGGAAAGAGCAGTAGGGAGAAAGAGGACATGAAGGAGACAGTGACACCACAGATCTTGCATAAGCCTTTAGAGTGCACAAGACCATTCATTCCTAAGGTGTCCACAGAAGCCCCTAAAACCCAGGATAGAATAAAAGACGTAGAGACATGGCCCTATGATCAAGAGCGCTACGATCTGGTTCCAGCATGGACATATCAACAGTGTTTCTAAGCATCAGTACATCCATATTCCACTCAGCCTATGAGAACATGGGTCCAAATTGCTATTTCTGGGTAAGGTAGAGATTCTGTATTCCTTAACAACCTTTAAGACAGGCTCAGTCAAAGCAGTGAGAGTTGAGGCAGGGTCACTTGGAAAAAGTATACATTTATAAACAATTCAAAACAAAAAAGTATGTTTAGTGCATAAAATCATCATCAGAAATAATTTTCAAAAATGGTGGGCAAGTTTTCAAACATTTTCTATGGGTTTGTGTACACAGCCGGGGAGAGGGGGGGCACACTGAAGAAAATGTAACTTGAATGAACTTTGAATAATGGACCAAATGTGATTTCATTTGAGTTTCAATGAAGATGTAGTAGAAATTCAAATTATTTCTTTACTGCCAGAGAAACCAGCTTCTCAATGTATTACAGAAGATTAATAATAAATAAAAAAGCAAGATCAGACATTGACAGCCTTGTCGTGCAACATAAATGATCCTCCCAACCTGTACACACAAACTGAGGCTGCTGCACGGCGTCCTGCTGCACCATGGCTCCCTGAGTGGTGCTTTGCGCCTTGCGTGTCGTGCTGACTTAGTCTATGTGGATCACATTGCCCTCTGCATCGAGTGTTAGCTCTGCAGCTAAACCAAGTTCACACTCATCGAGGTTTTCTCCACAGGTATTCCCAGTGCTGACACATTTGTATTTACGTTTTTCTAGCTAAACCTAGGTGTCTGGCTTCTCCCTCTGCCCATCCCACTGTGTGTAGATCCCCTGCC